TTAGTTACTTTTTTCTTAAACATAATAAAAATAACATTTATTTAGGCACGGTAGTTTGTGAGGTTATTGAAAGCATATTGTACAGTGATTGCATTACAGAACCCCAATAAGCCGTTAAGCATATTTCGTTTTGATTTAGCAAAAGATGGTGTCTTTTCTTCTTGCTACATTTCGTTTCTACCATGAGCAGTCTTTCATTTCGTCCTTCCTCACATAACCATCCAGAGAGGCAATGCACTTTGTTCAATTCATAAATGTCTAACATAATTCACATTTCAATTACCGTCCAGTAAGTGATTTGTTCTTCATCCAGTTAATCACTGGCAAGCTATCCTCCCAAAGTAATGGCTTCACATAACGTAGATCTATCCAGATTGTTGAGGGTTTTTGGATATCTGAATTAACCTTATTGAACTTTAAAGTTACTTGTACCAAAATCTTCATGTCAAGAACAGCGAACCCGATTATATAGGAATTAGAGCTTATAAAAACATATAATTATGTATTATTACATAATAACAAATTAACTCAAAGGTTATATTAAGGTATATTATTATTAATATATAATATTGTAGTGACAGAATAATATTTATATGTAAAGGATAATTCAGGATAATTCAATAAAGATACCTTAAGATAAGAAAAAGGAAAAAATAATACCAATAAGAGTAATATTGAAGATATTATTGATAGTCACCAAGAATTAATAGTAAATTTAGTGACAGGGAAAAGATATTTTTGTAAAATGCAACAAACATATTTATTAGAGGAAAGTTCACTTTTAAAGAAATAAAAAATCATTTGAGCATACCAAAACATTGCTTCTGTAGACATTTTAAAACGTTGTTGTTATATTCATAATTAATTTTATTTAGTGTTGGTATCATTTTATTTTATATAGAGCGCTTTAAGAATTTGAAATTATTGTTTTTTATTTTCATGGTGAAGTATACTTGTATTGTTAATTAATATTTCTCTAAAACGTGAATATGGACAGGAATGTGCTTTTAAATGATATGCAAGCAACAGAACTAGAATCCGACATATGAAATGTAAGCCTCCTCGATAATGCTGTTGTCGCGAAACGAGCATATATATTTACGTTTTTGTAAGAGATACAATATTTCTAAATTATTTAACCAAACATGATTGAGTGGAATTGCTGCACATGCATTTTCAATTTCTTGGGCCACCAATTTAATTCCATATGCCGAGAAAATATTGTACTACAATAAACAGTGTTATCACAATTTGATAAAATTACGCAAGATAAGTTTTTCCTTTCTTGAAGTGTGTAGACATTTTTTGGGCCACACACACACACACACATATATATATATAGATAGATAGATAGCGAGAGAGATAAAGAGAGGAGAGAGAGAGTGAATATGACAACTATTTATCAGAAAATGGGTCGTTTTCAGATTTCAAACGGTTCTGCACTATATTGAGACATGAGAATGCAAAAAAAAAAAAAAAAAAAACATCAAGCGACAACCAATAAACACAGTTTTTCTCTGGAAATGACGAATTCAGTCAAAAAACCAGTTTTCCTTCTTTTACTCGATGACTTCAGACAGAAAACGACTTCAGATGTATTAAAAACATTTTTAAAATGCCGCTTTTCTTGCCGAATGTCTTTCCTTCATGCAGGCGACTTTTTTTTTATTCATCTGCCCTTTTCTCAATCACTTCCTTTCAGTTGGTTACGCAGACGACTTCCTGATTATCAAAAGGCCAGTTTCCCGCCTTTTATATTCTCCGTTACTTTCTTCCCTTTCTTTCTGTTGATCTGTCAATCATTTTCATCAGACGAATGATTTGATGGACAGCTTTCTTTATATATTCACTCCGTTTCTTAACTGATAAAATCATTTTTTTCCAGTAAAATCAACACCTTTCTTCTTTCATTTCATTTGTCCAAATGATTGTTGTATGTTTCCTACACAATGCTTCCATCAATTCATTTTCTTTCCTTTTTTATTAGAGTTTTTCTGTAGACCTTTTAACCGTGTTTCATTGTGGGACATCACAGAATGGCCTAAGATTTTAGGAGTTATGTCCCTTTGTTTCTTTTTTATAATATTTTACTATGTCCGCTTTATTATTATTATTATTATTATTATTATTATTAATGGTTTCCAACTAGTAGTATTCTCTATGACTGGATTACTAATGGGATTGTTAAAGTCATGTATGCCAAGTCTAAGTTTTCTACGAAAAAGCAATAACAGTTTGACCATCTGTGGTTCATACTGCAGCTATGTTGAGTATTCCTTAGTTAGAGAGCGTTTGATCTACCATGGTCAACAGTCTGAATAAGGCCAGCACACTCAAACCCTCGGCCACGATGACTTGTGACTTCGTGCTAGCACAGCCATCGACGACTCAAATAGATTTTCCTTTATCCAATTTGAAAAAGCCATAGCCCTTATATATATATATATATATATATATATTTGAAAAATTTCACCCTCAACACTACCCGGGTTTCAATCTTATGGTCTTATCGAGTGGTTACTGGTAAATAATTAATTTCTAGCTCTATTCAAGCCCGTTTATATAACTTAACTAAACGTAGCAAAGTAGAAATATCAGAAGGGGAGGAGCCAGGAAAGAGTTGGAAGAATCGGAAGAAGGAAAGTAAAAAGAAAAAAATCGTAAATGTAATCATCCGGGTTCGTATTGGACTAGAGTGTTTTATTGGCGTGAATGTATTATGACATTAGCCCAAACCGTTGATTCAACAAGTTGACTCTGTCCGGGTATTTCACTATAGCCAGATTTCCCTCTTGACACAACCTACAAAGAATGCCATTATAACTGCTAGACTTAACCCTTCTCAGAACACTCCATCTCATGCTGGGGCTTCTATTACATCTCTTTTTGGACTCCCATACATGTCTTGGCAGTTTTGTACAATCGCTGTGGCTTTCCAAGTTAAATGAGGACCTATGATTGTACCACATTTTCTTGAATATGCCTTCTGTGCATCCCAAGCAGACTCCACCTCTGTCTTATAGACCACGCTTACGGTATTACAGCTACTGTCCAAATGGCACTTGTCTTTGTCCTTGCATTTGCAGGGGATAATGTCAGTGTCGTTGCTATGTGCAGCCATCTTGAACTTTCTCGTGTTGTGTTTCTTTATAATACTACCAAGACTGGTGGTGCAGCTGTAACTTAATTTTACAGTATTTCTGTTAAAAAGTTTGTGTTGATTAAAAGTCTTTGGGAAATGTTTAACGGGTAGTTTTAAAAAAATATTTTCCCTATGTTAGTTTTTAGTTCTAAATTAAAAAGGGGAATAAAATCATAGGCTGTCCTTTAAATTAAAATTGGTCTTTCGTTCAATTGTGCCTGGCACATATAATCAAAGGTGCTGAAGTCTGGGGGAGTTAGTTGGCCAGATGTAATGGGTGATATGGTCGCAGAAATTGTCTGACAGTTATGACTGGATTCTTCTGTTTGTGTGCCATGACTGTTGCCAGACTTGGGGTCTTCCAGCAGCCACCCTCTTGACCTAGGGCAGCACTATCTCCTTAAGGCACTTGATGTAAGTCTCCGTGTTAAGTGTGAGTCCCTGTGGGAAGATGAATGAAAGCATAACGTCACCATCACTAGTGATCACTTCAAACACCATCGTACTCACAATTAGACTCATCCAATTCTTTACGAATCCTCTGCATTGTCCTCAAATCGACACCCAAACGTGAATACCAAGCTGTACAACATACCGTTTCCAGATTTCTGGCGGAGTGAATTGCATATAGTGCCCAACTGACCATACTATACTGTGCAGTCGACAAAATCATAACAAACAATGCGCAAAATTAAAAATATGAAATAACGACAATTTACTCATCGCACCATATATATATATATATATATATATATATATATATATATATATATATATATATATATATGTGTGTGTGTGTGTGTGTATACAGGCCTATTTCGCAGATCATCAGTGCGACTAGAAACCTGAATGCTTCAAGCCAGGATCGAAAGCCGTATTTTTATCAGTCCGAGTCTTTACCCCTCCAAGCCATTGGCGCTTCGTCAGAGAGAAAGATGAATTCTATCGTATTGTTTTTGCGAATGTAAACAAACGCCAGATAGCCAGAGTGGTCTCTTCATTAATAAAGAGCGATATTAAAAATTAAAAATTGGAATCAAGAATCTGTTCTGACTTATCCATTCTGGATTTTAATTTTATTTAATGCATGAAGGAATGGGTTAAAGAGGCTTTATATAAACACACACACACACACACACACACACACACACACACACACACACATATATATATATATATATATATATATATATATATATATATATATATATATATATACATACATACTGTTACGTGTTGATAATTGTAACAAAGGAAAAAAATGATTTACCACAACACAGAGCTAAATCACAAACAAATATTTAATTTACTAAAACAGAACATAAAATATATACAAGATAAACAATTGTGGCCTACAAAACAAAAAACACAGAGTTACTGGCAAGATAGATTTTTCTCGAATATACTAGAATGATCTAGAATCTTCCAAACATTCTATTTCTAATTTCTCTATTTTACAACTACTTCATGAATGAAAACTTTTTTGTAATAACAAGTAGAACTCAGTGGAATCCCTTATTATAGAAATGCATCCTCGTAACAATATATATATATAAAGCGTCTTTACTTTAACCCATTCCTTCATGCATTAAATAAAAAAAAAATCCAGAATGGGTAGGTCAGAACGGATTGTTCATTCCAATTTTTAATTTCCTGGTCATTTTTGTCAGTGAACATGTTCAAAATGAATCTACTTATGGTTCACGTTCCAATTGGATAAATTTCTAATTTCAATCTTTCAAAAGAATTCTTGAACGATCTTGATCCGCGGCTCATAAAATGCCACTTAATTCGGATCTATTTTGTCCATTAATTGTTTGTAGGTTAGGCTAGAGAAGGTTGATGGTATCTTTAAAAATACACTTCAATATTCAGCGATATATATTCAAGCAGGTCATTACATTTGTGAATGAAAAAAATCTGTTAGGAGTGTCGGGATTGGGTGTGGAATGGTTGAATAGAAGAAACGCTGCTCTTGGTCTATGGACGGTGAGGCTAGATGAAAAAGAGGATGGTGACGATTAGTGCTGAGATGGATAGATAGACACGGCGCAAATCTAAGGTAATGTATATCAGTGCATAGATGGATGGAGGGACTCGGTGCGTTAGCAAATATGAAAAGAGAGGCACGGTGCAAAACTGGATGCAAAGCTGGATGGTGAGTGTCCGCATAGGTGGATAGAATGGATCGATGCAAAGCTGGATGGAATGAGTCATTGCATAGATGTACGGAATAGTTCTATGAAAAGCAGCATGGTCTGTGGGTCAGTGCATTAATGGAACGAGAGGCTCGATAAAAAGCTGGAGGTCAGAATCTACAGAGATAGATGTAGAGACGATGCAAATCTGGATGGCGAGTTTCAGTGCCAAGAGGGATGGAGAGTTGCGATTTCAAAGATGGATGGTCAGAGTCTGCAGAGATAGATGTAGAGACTTGATGCATATCTGGATGGTGAGTTTCAAGGGATAAATGGACGAAAAGGCTCGATGCAAAGCTGGATGATCAGAGTCTGCATCGATGGATATAGAGCCTTGATGTACATCTGAATGGTGAGTTTTATGGCCTACATGTATGGAAAATCTCGATGCAAAAGTGGATGGTCAGAGTCCGCATAGATGAATGGAGAGCCTTGATGCCAATCTGGATGGTAGGTCTCAGTGCCTAGATGGAGGGAGAGTCTCTATGCAAATCTGAATGGTCAAAGTATACATAGATGGATGTAGAGCATTGATGCATATCTGGATGGTGAGTCTCAGTGCCTAGATAGACGGAGAGGCTCGAGGCAAAGCTGAATGATCAGAGCCTGCATGGATCTAAAGTCTTGATGCAAATATGGATTGCGAGTGTCAGTGTCTATATAGACGGAGAGGCCCGATGCAAAGAAGCATGATCAAGGGCCGCGTGGATCTAGAGACGATCCAAATCTAGATGGAGCGTCTCAATGTCTAGATGGGCGGGAGAGGCTCGATGCAAATCTGGATGATCAGAACCTGCATGGATCTCGAGTCTTGATGCAAATCTGGATGGTGAGCCTCATTGCCTAGATCGACGGCGAGGATCGAGGCAAAGCTGGATGATCAGAGCCTGCATGAATCTAGAGTCTTGATGCAAACCTTGATGGCGAGTCTCATTGCCTAGATCGACGGAGAGGCTCGATGCAAAGCTGGATGATCAGAGACTGCATTGATCTGGAGCCATGATGCAAATCTGGATGGTGAGGTTCAAGCCCGAGATGGACGGAGAGGCTCGATGCAAAACTGGATGGTCGAATTCTGCTTAGATGGATGTAAGGCATTGATGCAAATCTGGATGGTGAGATTCAGTGCCTTCTTGTTCTTGTAACGGCATTCACCCGGGGTGGGTTGAGTCGGCTCCAATATTGGAGTTTTATGAGAAATTGGAATTCACAAGCATGTATAGCACATGAGATTTGATTATAGTGGTGAAGGTTTCGTGCAGGACCATCCACACTTTTTGAAGGGCCGATTACAGAGACCTGGTGCACTACGTGCCACAAGGTCCCCAAACGACCCTCCGCAGGTTTTGAATTCAGAGTTGTCCTTCTCCTAGACCAGTTGCCATCCAAGGCTATAGAACCCAGTCTGTCCTGCTATTTACCCATAGCTGGAGGGAGGAGAAGAAGAGGATTCATACCTTTCCCAAGGGTATTAGCACGTAAGTGAATGTAATGAGAATTCGACTGGAATTCGAACTCGGCTCTCCGATTCCTCAATCCAAGCCGCTATACATTACTCCACCATGCCTCCTCTACTCCACCGTGCCTAGATGGACAGATAGGATCGATGCAAACCTGGGTGATTAGAGGCTGCATAGATGGATGCAGAACCTTGATGCAAATCTGGGTGGTTAGTTTCAAGGCCTAGATTGACGGAGTGGCTCGAGGCAAAGCTGGATGGTCAGAGTTTGCATAGATTGATGTAGATCCTCGATGCAATTCTGGATGGTGAGTTTCAAGGCCGAGGTGGACGAAGAGGCTCGATTCACGTTCTGTATAGATCAATAAATAGGTTCAGTTGAAAGCTGGATGGTGAGTGTCAGTGCCAAGATGGATGGCGAAGTTCGATGCAAAACTGGGTGATTATGTTCTGCATTGATGAATGAAGTGTTTCAGTTTAATGATAGATGGTGAGACTCTGCATAGATGAATGGTGAGGGATGATGCAAATGTGGATTGTGTGGGACTATAGAGATGGATAGGTAAGCTCGATGCAAATCGGGATGGTGTGGATCTGCAGAGATGGTTTGGAATATTCGCTGCAAAACTAGGACGCATTTAATTCTTAGATGGATGGGTAGTCTGGATGTTGAGAGTCTCTATAGATGGATGGAGAGCTTG